GAGGGAGGGAGGGAGGGAGGGGATACTACAAAGTGCTCTGAATATAAAAGTTCTCAATTTTGATTAATCAAAGTGATAATTTTAATTATTACGCACACATAAATTCATTCAAGAAACACTATTCTGCATACTACCTAAGTAATAAGACATTAGATTATCATACGACACTGGATTATAAAGTAGAAAATACTGCCTTTGATTATTTTTTTAAGTGAAAATAATTTCAAATGATTACAAACCTGACTTAAATTTACTCCTCAAATGAAATCTATAATTTATACCAAGATAGCAGTGCCCTTGAACTAAGAAACTGTTAGGTATCTAAACAAACCACTCTCACCTCTATCTGACTTTTCATCCACAGAGTATTTGAAGAACTTCTGTCTCTCTTCAGCGTGATTCCACAGGCTAAGGCCTCTAAGCAGCTCTGCAGTATCCTTCTGAGAGCAGTGTTGTGCAATCACCTTCTTTTTAATATCTTTAAGCTCTTCATAGGTAAAATATTCCATTAACATGGGCTGAAAAACCTGAAATAAAAGATTCGCAATATATACTCTATGATCTTTAAATTATTAATAATTCAAGTATAGTCTTAGGAATGTTCCCAAGAGATAGAAATTTTACGCATGATCACTGTTAGTTTACGCAAAGAATATCACCAAGGTGTGCCTCCTCAATGATCTCTCCAGCTAATAAGTCAGATATTAAATAATTTTAAAGCATCAGGACAAGAACTGCCTGTCAGAACTTGTCAAACACTCCTAATCATTCTCTTGCTAGATATTTATGTCAGTTAACTTCCTTCTTTTAAGTAGTAAGTAACTGAATTCTACCCAAACAAGACCTCTACCTCAAACGAGAATGATCTTCAGTATACTGACCATATAAGTCACAACCCTGTTGAGATAATGAACTATTTTGACACTTTCCTAATTCTGGAGATGTTTACTCAAATCATTATTTTAGTGTTGTAGTTCCTATCAAACTTATTCATGGAGATTTCTTCTTAGTAACTGATAGGCAGTCCCAACATCTAATTAACAGAATTACAACCTTCAAAGTTTGAACCAGGCTTTTACTGTTGTTTTTAGTTTCGCAGATAATCTGATGTGTATCACAGGTTTAAAATACTACTCTTGTGACTCTGATTTCAATGGCTACTTTATGACAATGACTTAGAACCCTGAAAAAATAACCATGTCCACCTGACTTAATTGGTCTGAAAGGATGTTAAGAAATAGCACATTCTTTTATTAATCTAATAAGGTAAAAACAGTTGAGAATCACTACGGTAACTGATTTAGAGTTGAAAACTACTCAGGTTTTATAGAATACTTTTTCTGTATCTCATCCTAATACTCATCCCATAGAAAAGAGCAGTAATGTTTTGCCTATCTGTTTAATGAAGTCCTAATACATGTGTATTAGTCATAACAATGATAAATTTAAAACTACCATTTAACTAATAAAGTCTCATATTGAAAAAAACTATAAAAATTCATTTAATGTATAGAAAGTATTTAAAGAGGTATAGAACCATCTAAAGATTTTGAAAAGCACTAAGATGACATAAAAAGTTGCTAACAGTGCCATCAACACATGAAAATACCTATTTCTTAAGTAAATGAAATTTAATCATTCATTCAGTAAGAGCAACTTCAGACAACCGGAGGCTTCTCTCCAGCAATTCCTCTACCTCCTTTGGTATTTAAAATTTTTAGAAATCTAAACAAATCATAATGAAGAAAAATTATTACCTCTTCCTCTTCTTTCATGTGAGGAAGAAAATCTCTCGTAAAAGCCTCCAATCTCTCTTTCAGCTGTTTGGCGTAATTTAGCTGTTCATATTCATTCTAAAAACATAAACAAAAAATGTTTACATTTTGGTCCATTACTTACATTGTACCTGATCCCAGGAGGTCATTTTAGCTTTCAGTTTAAAATCCAAAATAAAACCTCAGAACAAAACAGAAAAGTAGCAAAGTGGTATGTGTATTTTTAACATAAAAGATGTCTTTTGGGATACGGGTACACTGCAGTTACAGAGAGCGTACCGAGGACCCAAAATTTAATCCTCAGAAATCTAAAACCAATAAGCTTTGAACTTTTTTTGTGTTTCTTTGTTTTTGTTCTTTTTTTTTTTTTCACCAGTACTGGGGCTAAACTCAGAGCCTAGGCACTGTCCCTGAGCTTCTTTATACTCAAGGCTATCACTTGAGCCATAGCACCACTTCTGGCTTTTTCTGTTTATATGGTACTGAGGAATTGAACCCAGGGCTTCATGCATACCAGGCAAGCACTCTACTACTAAGTCATATTCTCAGCCCTGAACTTTGTTTAGTAATGTGACTTTACTCCTTTTTTCAAGTATCATTTAAAAAGTCAGAAAATTGCCCGGTGCCAGTGGCTCACACCTGTAATCCTAGCTACTCAGGAGGCTGAGATATGAGGATCACAGTTCAAAGCCAGCCCAGGCAGGAAGGTCCATGAGACTCGTATCTCCAATTAACCACCAGAAAACCAGAAGTGGTGCTGTGGTTCAAGTGGTGGAGCACTCGCCTTGAGCTGAAGAACTCAAGGACAGCACCCAAGCCCAGAGTTCAAGCCCCACGACTGACCAAAAAAAAGTCAGAAAATTAAGCTGAATGCCAGTGACTCAAGGCTATATATAAACACAAAACTGAGATCCAGAGAATCAAAGTTTGAAGCCAGCATAGGCAGACAAGTCCCAAAGACCCCATCGGCAAAATAACCAGCAAAAAAAAAAAAAAAAAGATAACTCACACCTGTAATCTTAGCTACTCTCAGACCTGGAGAACCAAAGTTTGAAGCCAGTCCCGGCAGAAAAGTCCTCCAGACCTTGTCTCTAATTAATGAACAAAGTATCGGATAAAGTTGTGGCTCAAGTGGTCAGCTGTTGCAGGAAAACTAAGCAAGAGCACAGGAAGGTAGGCCTTAAGTTCAAGTCCCAGTACCAGCACACAACACATACATACAAACAAAAAAAGTGATCAAATTCCTTAACACCACCCCTTAAGTTTTATTGCTTTGGACTGGCTACAGCAAAAGTCCTGTAGCAAAAATCCTTCTGGCCTTGATGTTTCTGTTAGTAATTTTCATCCACTGACTCCCTAGCTATAAACTCCTACTTGTTTTAGTTGTACCTAGCATTACTTAGCATTAAGCTGGCTCACTCTTCTTTATTGTAAGCCTCTACTACATCTTGAATTAGTCTTCCTAGCCATCATCAACAAGTGGAATAGTGTTACTTTTCTTTAGTAGCATTTACTAGAAACTAATCACAAGTTTTGCCAATGACACACAGAAGATGGCACAATTTCGATTAGTTGTATCTTAGACACCAAGTTTTGCAACTCACCTTCACATTCTTCAGTCCCTTTTCAAAGAGGCTAAGCATCTCAGAGAGTTTATTGTCAGAATGAACATTATAAATTGTCTGGCTGCGTTGCTGAAGCAAGCCAATAATGTATTCATTTTCAATCTGCTCATGCATTTTGAACTCCTTGAAAGTGGCATACAGAGACTGTAGAAGAGCACGGAAATCGCTGTTGTTGGAAAAGTTGGTTTTAGAAAGCTGAGTAAAAAAAATGTAAAAAGAAAGGAATAAATAAATGCCAACAATATACCAGTAAGAAACATTCAAATGTTTTATTTTTATACACAGCAAGATATTTCCTTTATACTTGATTAAAGTACAGATAAAGAAAATTCAAAAATGAACAAGTTATAATGGTATAACTAAAAAGTATGCTAGGCCAGGAAAATGTTAAGTCAGTTTTCTGAAGGACTTGGTGATACAGAAAAATAAAGTATACACAGGTCACACTTTTTTTTACCTAAAATTATTCTGTACCACAGACATTTGTAAACATTAAATTCCGATAATGTAAATTTTTTTGTTCAAAATGTCCAAAAGTAGGCTACTCGAGTTTAAACTTTAATTATCAAGTTGAGACTGATCTGTTCTGGAGTATAAAATACTGGGCTGTTAGATCATTACTAGACCGTTTAAGGGAGCTACTTTTAAGGCAATTTATATAAATACCTAATGGCTTATGTAAGAAATTGTTGACTTATCTGGCAGGAGACACTACAGTAGTACAACGCAGGAACCTAGAAGCCTATTCTAGCAAAGCATTACTCCAAATAAACCCACTTGAAAGATACAAGTCAATTAAAAAAAAAAGGCAAAACAAAACTGAACTGAGCACTGAGAGATGTAATCCTAGCTACTCAGGAGGCTGAGATCTGAGGATCATGATTCCAAGCTGCCCAGGCAGGTAAAGTCTATGAGACTCTTTATCTCCAATTAACCAGCAAAAAGCCAGAAGTTGAGATGTGGCTCAAGTGGTAAGAGTTCCAGCCATAGGTGGAAAAGCCAATGGAGAACTAGAGGTCCCAGAACTGTCCCATCCCCCACCTCATCCCCCCCCACACACACACACCGAAGGACCAACACATCATTTTCTCTTAATCCTGCTACCAAAGAACAAAAATGCTGATTCCAATCCAATGCTAAATTTCTACTTAGTGCTGAATTACTTCCTAGTATTTTTAAATATATGATTAAAAATCTTGGTTCAAGCTCAAAATAATATTCAAATCCTTCATTACAAATATCAATCTACTTTTTTGTGTAAATTCTAGTTTCAAAATTCATTGTAAAGGGGAAATGATCAGGTTAAGTACAATAACCAGATAAATGAAATTGAGATGCTAATATCATAATTCCTAGATTTGCTATGATCTGATCTAGTATTCTTGAAATGGAATACAATCTAAACTGTCTCATCAGCCTTCCTCAGTAAGAATTTGGTCTGATGACAGTGTATGGAAAAGATGACACATAAATTCTAAAGCAAAACTCTTTTAGTGGACCTAAAAGAAATAACTAAATACGTTCTACGAAAGACAGTATGCATTCACAGCAAGAGTCACAGAGAACCAATCCTAGAGTAAGAAAGAGTCCCAGGACTGGATCCACTGTAGCACTTATTTAGCTGTATAACCCGAGGTAAATTACTTTTCTTCCTCAATGTCTCAGTTTCTTCTTGGTGTTAAATGGCAATAAAATATCTATACATATTAATATGGTTATCCAGCACTTAGGAATTAGTTGAAAATTAAACATTTGATAAATTCATGCACTTCTGACTCTATTCAAACATTTACTGAGCAGTTATGAGCCAGGCACTGTGGCACTGTTTCTAGCATTTGAGGTACATAAGTGAACAAAATGAAGAATGCTGCCTTTATGGATTTTACGGTCTAGTGAAGAAAAGACAAAGACTCATGTGTAAATCATCTTAGAGCAGGACTTTACACAGTAATTTTTTCAACTTCTGCAGGCTAGGAACTATTTAGCTGCTGTAGCACAAAAGTAGTCAGACAACAAGTAAGCATGTAACTGTGCTATATTCCCATAAAACTTTCTATTTATGGATAATGAAATTTGAACAGTCATGTAACTTTTTGGGGGGTCTGTCATGGGATTTAAAATCAGGGCCTGGGCTCTGTTCCAGGTTCTGTCCCTGAGATTTTTGCTCAAGGCTAAAGCTCTACCACTTGAGGGGTAGGTAAGAGTCTCATGGACTTTTCTACCAGGGCTGGCTTCAAACCAAGATCCTCAGATCTCAGTCTCCCTAGTAGCTAGGATTACAGGCATAAGCCACCAGTGCCTGACTTTTCATGCAACTTTCACATGTCAAAATATTATTTTAATTTTTCTAACTATGTAACAATGAAAATATAAACTTCTGAATCTCATAAAAACAATCTGCAGGGCAGATCTGATTAAACTCATAGATTTCAAGAATCCTAAGTAATGCCACACTAGGCTCAACAAAATTTATTAGTGGCCAACAACTGTCAAAGTTATGTGTCATTTTACTTAATAAAAGTACAATATAAGTAGTCTTATTAGAAATAGCGCAACTTAGCCGGGCGCTGGTGGCTCACGCCTGTAATCCAAGCTACTCAGGAGGCTGAGATCTGAGGATCTCGGTTCAAAGCTAGCTCGGGCAGGAGAGAC